TTTTTTTTGATTTGTCAGGAATGCAAATCTTCCTTTTTGGAAAAATATCAGTCCTACGAAGTTTTAGGCACCAATAACGCCTACTATTTAAAAAAGATCGATCTCAAATCACAACCAACAAAATTATATATTTTAAATGATGGCAAAAAAGTTGTAAGATCTTTTTGACAAATATTAACGTTATCAGTTATAATAGTCGAAATGATTCTCATTATCAATATTTTCGTTAGTTCGAAAAAATATAGTTAAGTAAATAAAAGCTTTAAGCTTTGTATGCTCGCAATATTAATAAAACTAGAAATATATGTATGTATGTACATAATATATGTGACTTAAACTTGAACTTGTATATTCTCCAACAAAATAAAGTTTTTTTTTATAAAATTAAATTACAATAACAATTTTTTATTGTCCATTGGGGTGGGGGTGTGAACCACAACAAAAAACAAATACGATTACATTTGATTCAACAACAAACACTGTTAACCTTAAATGCTTGTACTGTTGATGCAAGAACATATACTGTTAACGTTAAATGCTTCTACTGTTAACATAAATATGGAAGTATTTGCTACAACAGTGCGCCATATTTGGATTAAAAGCTGTCTACTCTTAACTTAAATACTTTACTCATTTGCTTCAACAGTGCTCGCACTTTTATAACAAATGCTCCAAGTATTTGGGCACATTTCTAATCCAAAAAGTATTTGTGGCAAATGTAGAATACTTTGGTTTTACTATTTTTTTTTCAGAGTATAAATTAAAATATATTTCTTTCCAGAGCGACATACGGATAAGTAAGGTGATAAATTTGTATGATGAATATCGCGGAAAATCTTTTGCATCAAAATTTCTGCTCTAATTTGCATTTGAATTATGAGATCAACTGGGATGCTTTGGAACGTATTTTTTGAAGGCAAATTTTTATAAAACTTGAGATTGTTGATTTATTTAAGAATAAAAATAGCTAGTTTATATTAAACAAGTAAGAGCAGCGCTGTCTTCGGCTATGCCGAAGGCTTCATACCTTTCATGAACATCTGCAAATTTTACTTTGATAGAT